AAAGGGTTTTGCACCTTGCGTAGTACTTGCGGGAGCAGCTGTGCTCCACCTGGCCTTCTTTGCTCCACCGCGGGTGAGGAATGGGACTTGGCGGACAGACTTAAGGACTTTGAAAACCTGGAGGGAGAAGTTGCTTCGACTCCGAAGCCCGAGTGGCCCTGCCCTGTGTGTGGCACTGTGCTTCGCTGTACCTCCACTAGAGCTTTGGCGAGTGCGAAGAGGTGGCACCTTAGCAGTAGACACCCTAGCTTTGACAGTAGCCTGGCTTTCCGGTCACGCAAGCCTGTTGTTGTTGAGGCGAGCAGTAGCCTTCCGACCAAACAACGGGCTTGGACTTGCCCGATCAAGGGCTGTGACAAGGGGCTCCCCGCGCTGGCCAGGCAGGACTACCTCCGAGCGGTTTGGCGACACTGCAAACAAGACCACCCGAGAGAGACACCCACTTCCCTCGGCCACCTTGCGGCCCGAGGACAACCAAAAAAGGGCGTTAGCAAGCACTTGCTCAAGGAACACGCTAGTAACAGAGCCAAAAAGCACGGCACTCACGACCTGGTGGCTTTCACGCCGGTGCACTGGCCCAGCGCCGGTCGCAACAGCTTTGCCATGTGTAAACGCTGTTTGACGCAGTGCACTAAGCAGAACAAATGCCTCACCTGTGAGCAGCAAGTCCTTAAGCTCAGCCAGCCTGGGGAGCACAGAACCAAGAAAAAGCTGTGGTTCCTGAGGCTGAGGGCCAACAAACCTCTGTTCGCTCAAGAGCTTTGTGAAGCTTTGGGACGCTCTAGTCAAGACATAGACCTCCAGCTTGGCATAAAGGAAGGAGACACTTGCGAAAGCATGGGCTTCAAGCCGCTGCGAGCTGATGCCCGTCGTGTCAAAAACCCCAAACACACCTGCAGAAGCAAGCGAAAGAACAAAGGGAGTTCGTGAAGCAGAGTGCTGGGTTCGGAAACGAGCCCGGCGCCACAGCGTTCTGGCCTTAGCTACCCAAGTGAGGCCGTTGCTGCCTCGCACTTACGCACGGGAGGTTTCCGTGGAGTGCGTGTGGGAGAAGCTCGGTGCCCTGGCCCTAGACTGAGGCAAGCTTCGGGACGTAACCCTGAGGCAAAGCTTCTGGTGCTCAACTGTGGCGGGGCGCCGGGGGCATGGCGCTTGTACGAAGAAAACATGCTGGGGGCTCAGGTCGTCTGCCTTCAAGAAGTGTCCATGAGTAGTGAGGAATGGCGCAGTTTTGCCAGAGCCCTTGCCAAGAAGGGCTACTCAGCCTACTACACTCCTGGACCCACCAGTGTGAGCCGTTATGGTCATCCTAAATACAATGGTGGCGTTGCCTGTTTAGTGCATCGCAGCATTAAGCACTCCCCGGCGGGGAGTGTGCAACTTGACGGGTGTCAAGCTGCGGGGGTGTGGCTTCAGGACCTCCATGTTGCTAATGTTTACAGCCCGCC